ACACACCAGTTAGACACATATGTTTTAGACAGATTTTATCTAGCTGTAAATAAAAAACAAACAAAGCTTATACTGTGAAATAAAAGCCAACCACAATTGGCATAAGCACTGTACTTTTTGCCAAGAAAAATGCATTGACTCTCCTTCTCTAAAGCATCGAGTACACAGGACCAGACATCATTTACAATTTTCCCAGAAGTTTCATTCAGCTCACACCCACGAGACATTATTTGTTACCATTTGACAGGAGGTGGAACTGGAGAAATTGAAGGGATCCATGACATGATGTTTAGAGATGAGATTTACTGACTGAGGCCAACAGCTACAAATTCTTTTCAGTGTAAGTGTACTGGTTGGCATGCAAACACAACACAAACAGCACATCCTGAGATCCAGAGCCTGAGTCAAGAAAACAGGTTGGAACGATTCTGCACCACATTTCCATAGCTGAGTCCAATACTCAGTGCTAACCAGCAGAGAGGAAGAGAAAAAACCCTACAAATATCCTTACCTTTAACCTCCCTTGCAAAAACATCAGAGCTGGTCAGATCTCAGGCTTACCTTTCACAGAAAACTCCTACAGTTCCTATTAAAAATCAATTTTATTTGGCACAAAAACAAGACTTAAAAGTTCTGTGAAAGGTAACTTCCATGATTTAAAATATTCTGTTTAAAACTATTCTCTGGCTCTATGGCAACTCATCCTCCAAGTTCCTTACTAATTCTGTTAATGAAGAAGTTAAACAGGAGGCAGAGGAGAAAAAGAAAGCTGTACAAGAGCAAGAGCTTTTGTTTCAGTTTACCCAACAAAGCCATTCTGGGAAAAAACTGAAGTTTCTTGCCAAGAGCTGCAATCTTGCAAAAACAGTATTCTGATGGAAAATTCCAAACTAACAGGCAAACCACTGCAACCACCTCAGATTAGTTCAATGGCATTTCAGTTTAATTTGTATGAACACCTAACATACAGTATATGCACAGCTTCAAGGCACGAGCTCAGGCTTATTTTTCTACCTGCCCAAACCCTGAATTAAAAAATTTGAGTTTTTTAAAAGTCACGGGTCTTACAGTTTGTAAGAAACAACTTACAAAAGGCTGAGATTATAAAAACATCTTGTCCCAGTTACACAATTAGTTTACCTGCTCAGAAACCTCCCTGAGGAGAACTGCCATACACAGCACTTCCATACTACTTTGAAATGTAAAATGGGGGTTGTTTCATTATGATTATGCAAAAGAACCACAATTACGTTTACTTAACATTAAATCGTAATGGAATAGGCAAAAATTAGTATTTCCTCGGAACTGTCAGGCACAGTTAACCATTCTGGTACAAGAGATGTGAGATTTCTTTGTCACTTGATATCCAGTTCCTTACAGAAAACACGAAGGAAAAAAAAAGAAAAAAAACCAAACCACCAGGAAGTGCTTTTCATGTAATATAATATGTTTTATGAAGTTTATTGCAGATATTCCCTCCCAAATTGCAGACACAGTATTAGCAGGAGCACATGGACCACCTTACAGCTGGATGGTAGCCACACCATGTAGCAGATGGGGCATCTCCCAACTTCACAACAGCCCACAGGAGACAAGAAACAGCACTCTGAGTTACAAACTTACCCAAACAGAAACTGTACAGGAGACCCTCCCTAACGGAGAGCTTTTTCCCCGGCCCTTGCCTGGAACTGCCGCTTTCTGTCCTGTCAGCTGAAGACCTGGCAAACACCCAACCCTCCCTGCAAACAGCACCTGCCACAGGCCGATGGCAATATCCAAGCACAGTTGCCCACACAACGCCTTGTCTTTCTCCCAGTAATACATACCGAAAAAATTAGTATCGTCCAGAAAAAATCCTGGACACCTGATACACTGTTTTACACTAAATGTAAAACTTAGGTCAGGGTCCCATGAAATGACCTTCCTCGCCGAAACTGCCTGGTTGCTCTGAAAGCATTTACTGTTGTATATCATACACAGGGCATTGATTTAATTTGTTCAGACTCGAGCCATTACAGAAATCACCGCGATTGTTATTCTATCCCCAAGAACGGCCACAACCTCCACGCTGCGGACCAGCGTGCTGCTTCTCAGCTACACAACGCGCAGCAGACCTGCACGAAAACAAAGCGTTTTAGTAAAGCCACAGCACGTCTCCCTAGACTTCCTCGCACCTCTCCACACTTGGATGCCTTGCCTAAACCCTTCCCCGCTCGGGACAGCGCTCAGGAACCCACTTTTCCCCAGGACGCCGCGGAGCACCCCCGGAGCATCCCCGGGGCTGTGCCCGGCCGGG